CCCTGGCAATACTTGACACCTTGCCTCTGTGAGTGCCATGCTCTTTTCCTGAGTTGGAGCACTGTGCTGTGTCTGGAAACCTGGTTAAAGGAATCAGGTGGTCTTCAGTCCACGATTCAAAGTTTGGATCCTCTTATTTAGAAAGCTCTGGATTTCTCAGAAGTTTTTCTGTAGCCCAAGCTCGTGGCCTAAAGCCAATGACAAACATGATAGTGACTGCCCCTTCAGAAGAAATCAGGTCTTAGTCCTCCTGTTAGGAACAGAAAGGTCCTCCCCACTGTAAAGTGACAGTGGCGGCTTTGGCCATACCTTTGTGGTGCCCCCCCTTTAAGGGAGATGACTTCGTGGACTAGTGCTATGCTGGAACACTGTGAAGTGGGTCACTAAAATATGTATAATATATATAAAAAGCTGCGTTTTGTTCTCCAAGCATTTAGTCTCCCACAAGTGGCTGGACTTACTTTTGAGATGTAGTCCTTGCTTTTTATTAACTTGGATATACTGCATATTTGGGGCTTTTTGTATAACCACATCATTCTGAGTCTTCCGGATCTACAAGTGTTACTCACTGTCAATAAGATTGGTTATTTCCACCAGGTCAGATACTGTCGTTTGATTTGTGTGCTTCATGATGAGCCCATGGGATTTGGGGGTGCTGATGTTTCCTTGCTCAAGAAGTTTAGAAATGCTTTTGGATGCAGCTCCTGCAATTATGTAGCACCTGGAACTGACAGCATTATGGATGCTGTCCCACTGTTCAGAGTCCTGGGTGAATATTTAAGGACTGATCATGAAAATGTATTGAACACAGTCACAAAACAACAGGAATCAAATAGCACATAATCAAAGTTGTACACTTTTTCTGAGTCACACAAAACCTTTTCTTTTATATCTGTGCCTGAATGATCTCTGTACCACAACCACACAAACTAGCAAGCTTCATGCAAGAGAAACTAAAGGTGATTTAATTTGGGCTTAAAGATCTTGAGAATAAAACATGAATGCACTAAATGCTATTCTCTACATTGACCCTAGAATTCTTCAAACCCAAGCAATTCCTATCTGCTGTATTATCCCTTATGTTGTTAAAGACTAGCTGGTTAGATTTTTGTTATATCTGATATTAAAAAAAACTGGAAAAGAGCCTGCAGGGGCTCAACACGTAAGAAATTAAATTACACAGACACACATATGTATATTAAATAAAAATGCATGTGTATGTATAGCTTAATAAATTATATATGTGTGTGTGTATATATATATATTATATATGCACACAAAGTCATCTCAGTCCCTGGACCACATTTCAATCCATCCTGTTAGAGCTGACCATGCAGGTACATCCGATCACAAAGCTGAGGTCAGAGCCTCAGAACTGTCATCACAAGGCCAGTCTGGCCCTGAGCTCAGCAGGCGTCTTCTGAAAGTGCTGTATGCAGCCTATGCTGGAAAAGGGAGGATGGGCCTGAGAGGGCCTGGGACTTCAAATGGAATCCAATGTTCACACTGTCCTCAAATCTAAACACTTATTGCAGAGAAGATGTCTCCTCAGCATGTCTGCTCAATATATGAATGGTTCTCAAATTTAAAAAATCAAGAATTCCAATTTCAGAGGTTTTTTATAAAGTGGGCTAGGAGGAGAGATGGTCTCCCATGACGTGTTGACAACCTTGTCAGATGCATTAAAGAGATCACAAAACCTCAGCATCTCAAACCTTTTTAAAAATATGGCTTTGTCATATATGTAGTAACTGGATTTAGGTTTAAAAACTATTTGGCCTCATAGAAGTCCTGTTTCCATAAGCATGTGAAAATGATATATGATTAACCTATTGAAGCACCAGCTGGCGCAGCAGGGCGGCTTCCATCAGTCAGGTTGCTTGTAAATACACAGGTACTCCTGAAGTGCTGCGAATGGCTCATTTCTTTCTGCAGACAGGCACACTCCTACGTAATTGTGTTTCTGCTATTCATTTGCTTAGTAAGTGCCTTTCTCATAAATGCCAAAATAAAGCAACTCAGCCCCAGCCCAAATTACAGCACATTCCCAATGACAGAGATCCAAAAGAATGAGACTTTATTCTATGTTTTGTTATAAAATGTAAGAGGTGAGCCTGCTTACTTTGTAGCATATAAAATATATGTTATAAAATAGAAAAGGTGGGCCATGCTTACCTCCTTCCTGAAAGGATCAATTAGTGCAATAATGGAAGGGTACTTGTTGATCAGATCCACGTACAGGTCAACCATCTCAGCTGCAGCTTTATAGGTGCCCACCATCACTTCGTACTTGCCCTTACTCTGATATGTTTGAGGGGAACAGTAAAATAAAGGATAAACAATGGATTCTTCAGATGGTAAAGATGCAATTCAAATTCCTTTTTTGTTCATGTCATACAAAAGATTGTAAAGATTCTTTTCAAGCCACATTCCCCTGAAAAATCAAAGAATTTTACTTTAAATATCTGTAAAAATATTAACCTGGGAAGTCAAGACACTGTTCCTTGTGATGCAAGATTTCTTCCCACAGACTTCAGACAGAACCTTCTGCACAAAAAAATGAATAGGTACAGAGTGGGAGGGGAGTGGTTTTTATTTAGGTTTATGACATGATGCCAGGTACTCAGCTGCCTTGGTAGGTGGACAATAACAAATTCTAAAACAACAAAGAGAGTAGCAATGCAAACCTGCCCACACTCTAGAACCTCCTTTCAACTCACAGTGGACAAATAACTTGTCTCCTTTACTGTAAATATTCTAAAATCTGAAAGCAGGAGTGGGGTTTTGACTACTACCAACCAATATGAATTGTGAAATGCTTATGGGAAGGCATCTCTTTCTCAGGCAGCATGCAACTTGTCCTAAAAGAAGGATTCTAGAGCAACCCTATTCATTTGAAATCTGCAGAGCTTCCATCATGAAGTATAGAAGTAAACAGGGCTGAAGGATCCAGTGTAGGCCTTCTGCAAAATAAAGTTTACTTTCAAGTCTGTGTTCAGGGGTGGTGCCTGGGATAATTAAGGTTCTGGAAGGGAGGTGAACCAGACAGAGTGGCTGTTTGCTTGCCTTGCTGCTGCTCCAGGTAACAGAATGGATTCCACAGGAATTGAACCTCTTTAATTACTTCATAATTGAAGGGATTTTATAGTTTTTTTTCACATTAAAAAGCAGCAAGAACTTTTAACTTTTATCATGCAAAGCTTAAAAATCCTATCTTACCAGTGAGGAAATGCTAATGACTTTGAACTAGCATTGCAAGAATTATCTGATATCAAGCTAATACATTTTACTGAATATAAGCAATAAATACCCATTCTGCTTAGCATTAGCAGTCAGTATATTCATAGTTCTTGCTATACATTGCTGATGAAAACATGCAATTATTTTTCTTAATGGTATGCCTAGGAACCAATCATTAGGTGAAGAACAGGAAATTACTTTAAACATTCCTTTATCTGCTTAGTTTCTTTAGAAAAAATGAAAGAACTTCTAGAAGTCAGCCAAAACTTAGGGCTCTTATATATTGTTCAAAATTTCCTTTGTAGATAAAAATCACAGTTAAAGCAGGATCCTCTTGTCATGTCCCTGAATTTGACATTAATTACCAAGTCACCACAATTGCATGTCAGTATGCTGCTGGACATTTTATAAAACTGAGGCTCAGCATTTGCATATTTGAAAATAAGAAGAGTATGTATATATAGGATAGAAAACTTCTAATAGGTTCCCTACACAGATTTCCCACATACGAAGGTCAGTTATTGTAATAAGCCTGGAGGAGTAAGGACTAGAACAGGTGTCAATGAACCTGTTTTCCATTTTCTTTCTAAAATTTTTCTCTCTGTAGATGGAGTGATCACCAAGTGGTATTTCACAACTAAGGCTCTGTCCTCCTCAGCCAGACTGGGTCAATACTTTCATGTATTTAGTTGAATAAAAACATATTCTCCATAAGCTTTAACAACTTTGAAATATTTTTTTCTATAAAAAGTGGGGGGCCAAAGATGGGGCTTGGTGATAGAGAGCTTAGCATGTATAAGGTCCTGGGTTGGACCCAGTGCTGCAAAAATTAAAAAAAAAAAAAGAAAAAGTCAATCACAGCATAAACTCTGTCTAGAAGGGTCTGTCAAGTCATAGTTGCCACTGACTCACTTTTCATGCCTGACAAATTCAGCACTTACCAACCAAATGATTATACTCAGCAAAACATACCAGCTTATTAAATTATTTTCTAATAGCTTTCACAATGGCAGTGTAAATGATTCAATTAAGTGGGTTCCTAAGAGGTCCATAATTGATATAACTTGATACTTTTTTCACTTTTTAAAAGTATTTTTCATTTTTATGAAATTCCTATGTACCGAATTTTCATATGTAATTGTAACGATTTCTGTTATTACTTTTTAAAATTATATGGTTATGTTATTCTCCAATCATTAACTTGGCTTTCTCAACCCCACTAACATCTGGATACCTTTAAGAATATTAATAATTAAAAACTAACATCTGTTTGGAAAATATTCAGATCAGCTCTTTGGAGTTCTAATTTAAAAATCATGATCTTCAACAAGAAGTAAATATTCTCTAGTGGATACTTACGTAGTCCATCAACTCATGAGCAGCACAGTTGATGGCTAGATGCAGATTTGTCCCCAGCTCCAGTCCCAGGTTTGTACAGATGCCCTGTATTAGAAGCAGCGGCTGTTCTATGGTGTCGTAGTTAATGGTTAAACAGCCAAGATGGGACATCTTGCCAGTGACTGGTGCCTGCAAGACCACAAGAAAATGACGCGTGTCACCACAGCACACAAACATTCTTGGAGTTTCCTGTGCTGGGCAGAGAGTATGACTTGGCACAGCTCTCCAAAGATCAGGTTCTTCAATTCTTTGTTTTAGATTTTATTTTACTTTTTTTATTAGTATATATTGATAGTCTGAGGGAGGTTCACCTTGATAATTCCATAGATGTGTAGAGTGTACTTTGAACAAGTTCACCCCCTGCCTTATATTCCCCTACACTTTTCCTTCCCCCCCTTTTCAAATAGTGTTTGGTGGATTTCATTCTGCTGTCTTCATATAACTATGCAATGTACTTTGATTCTCTTCACCCCTCAATTTCCTTTCCTTTCCTTCTTCCCCTCTTGTTGATCCCTTCCACAGAGTCCTCCTTTTATATTCATGTCCCATTATTATCATCATTATCATTTAGGTCTAGGTTCCACAAATGAGTGACAATATGTGATATCTGGCTTTCTGAGCTTGGCTTATCTTGCTCAACACGATGATCTCCACTTCCATCCATTTTCCTGCAAATGACATAATATCATTTTTCTTTATGGCTGAATAAAACTCCATGGTTCACACAATATATATATACATTTATCCTGGAGCGAGCTTTCTCTCGCTCCTGGTTATTACTGGACCTAACTGGGGCTAACTGGAGGTGACTGGAGATTCAGAAAAGACATAAGATAGACAGACAGAAAGTGGGATCAGGTGTTTTGGGCACTCAGGTGGAGACGCACAACCCTCATTGCTTCTTTTCTCTATCTTTATTCTTTAAGGCCTTACTTCTTTATGGTTCTTTAAAACCTTGATTCTAAAGTCTTTCTTTAAAACCTTGCTTTTAAAGTCATTTTTTCTGTCCTTTAAATCTATTCTCTTAGCTTTTCTTTAGCATAATCTCTCTTAAAGTCTTTGCCCCCCAGGCTTGCACTGTCCCATGTTCTCTTTAGCTTGGTTTTTCTAAAGCCTATGTATAAAGTTGTCTTTAGCTTTCTTAAAGTCTCAGCCATCAGACTTGCTAGCAATTCCCCTTTAGCAATTCTCCTTCAGCAATTCTTTTCCCTTAAGCAATCTTGTTCCGTTCAGCAATCCTTTTCCTTCCAAAGCCTCCCATATCAAAAAGCCTCCCTTCATCCAAAAAGCCAAAAGCCAAAAGCCTTCAAAGCAAAACCCCCCAAAGCAAAAACCCCCAAAGCAAAAAGCCTTGGGTCCTCCTTCAGTGAGTCTTTTATATCCAGTGGTAAACAGGGTGGAGCAGCAGTTCCTGGGGAGGGGCGTGACACTGTAACAGGAGAAACCTGGTTCCTGCTTCTCTGAAAGTAAACAATTTAGGAGAAGCAGCTGTTCTGGATTTCCCTCTTCCTTGACCAGGCCTGTGCCAATCTCAGCCTACAGATAAACATTTTAAGAAAAGCTGTTGAGCTGCATATCGCCTTGCTTATGTCCTGTTCTCAGAGGCCTCTCATAATCTGCTGTCCACAATATCCCATATTTTCTTTATCCATTTATCAGTTGTGGGTAATTCTAGTCCCACAGGACTTTGGGTGTATGATTCCTTACACTCTGGCTTTCTCTTTAATGTGCTGTGTTCTCGTTTATTGATTCTGCCACTGTATGGGGCTAGCCTGAGCCACAATCACCAACTTGGTGACTCTCAAGGCTATTCCTATAAACATCCATTGGTCTCTAACTCAGCCAGTCCTCCTCCTCTATACCTGCTCTTTCACATGTTCTGTTTTACTCTAGATGAACATAACTGTTAAAACTTAGAAATGTAATCTTCCATCAGGGAAAGCTTTATTTTTAAAAGCATGGAAGACTTCAGCTGGAAAATTGCACTAGTGGGGATAGATTTTAGCAGATTTTGGGACCCAAATGACCCCAGGGAAAAGCGGCCATATGTCTCTATTGCAAGGTCTGCCTTGATGTGCCCTCACCATAAATTGCTACTAGGTAATTATAAATTGAAGCATTATCAGTGATTCTGAGGGCTTAAGATGTGTTTGTGCTTATCAAACTCAGAGCAGAAATGACCCCAGGTATAAATATTCTGTCTTTATTGGTGGCAGTATTAATTATAACAACTATCAAACATTTTTAATGTTAATGAGAGGAAGCTTCTATTCAGCAGGCAAAGAAATAGTTGGGGAAATTTTTATCTATCAATTTAGTTTCATAAAGTTACAATTCAGTTACATAAAGTAATACATTTGCTCCTTATATCAGCCCCATGGAGTAGGTACTACAATTATCCCCTTTTTACCAAGATTTAAGTAACTTGGGATAGATTTTAATTCTGGCAGCTGAGCTCTAGGGTCCAAACCCCTAACTCTGGTGAGTCACCTCTGGAATCCATGCTCTAACCTGTTTCTAACAGGAAAAAAAAATGACAAAGCAAGAAGGAAAAAAAGAAAGGATGAGGAGGAATAGCACAAATAAATAGTGTCCTACAGAAGTATGGGAAACAAACAAATATACTTACTGAACCTCTTTTGCTTCCATTATACCCTTTTTTGGTCTCTGCTTTTGGAGGTGGGAGCTGTGGAAAAGAAGGTAAAAACATCACTTGAGACTTTTCAAACACATCTTTGGCACAGCAAAGTGTCTGGTCCTCTGGCTGTCCACTCCTATGGGGCCCACTCAGCCATACTGTGAATCCCCCTCACTCTCACATACAGGCACACACACCCTAATACACATACATACACACACACGGTTGATTCCAGCCATGCCATGCTGTTTTTAAGTCCCAAACTATTTTTCAAATTCAGGCACATACTCACTTTAGTTCATCCTTACCTTCTTCCCTGTCATATAGATGGGGTCTGCACATACAGACCCACACGTTCCCACTCATAAAGAGAGTATGCACACATTATGTTGGGATCTCCCGCTGTGTGCAGGCACCCCCCCACCCTTTTTTTTGCAGGAGGATATGGACTTATGGAATACCACCTACCACAGTGGGATTAGCTTTTATAGATCCATCATATTGCTGGGTATATTCTTGGGGTACAAACAGGATGGACTGGACTTTTAGAAACAACCTGAGGTCATTAAATCTTTTGTAAATTGCAAGTGACACTTTTAGCGCAGAGCCAGCTGCCTTAGGAAACAAAATGAACTTGTTCAGTACCCTTCAAAAGTGGATCCATTGCCCATGAGGAATGCATACACTTAAGCAAATAAATGCATTTTCCATAGCAATAATAATAGTGATTTAACTCTAAGCTGGATGCTACAGAGTGTCAGTAACTAGACAATGTAGACTTTTACATACCAGTTCCATTGTTTTGCTAATTTGTTTCTGAATTTCCAGAAGCATCTCCACACCCTGTAAGTAGAACCATGATTGTCCACAACTGCAATCTAGAAATTTTAAACATGAACATGTGGATCTATTCCTAACTCAGACTATTCATAAGGTCCCTCATAAGAGCCCCAGTTAGAGGATGGTATGGTCTATAAAGTTGGAAGATTAAATGTTAACCTCTGGCCCCCAGTTTGCATTCAGCTGAGTGTGAGTTGAAAGGCTCTGCCTCAGTCTCCTCATTGTTCAGAACCTCCTGGTTCCATTGGTTTGACCTCATTCTCTTTCATGGTCTCTTGATCAGCCTGGATAATCTTGCAATACAGGTCACAGTTCACCAAGTTAGCCTGAATCATCATGAATTCCCCATCACTTAAAAAGTAGAAAGTGTGCTCTGATGGTGTATTAACTAAGGAAGAATCCTGACAACAAGATCTGAATACAATCTGACAGATGGTAAGTCAGATATAAATTCTGGTCTTCTGTAACTAATAAGTTGTGAGGTAATGATGACTTTATTTTTAAAAGAATTATTTATAATAAAGAAAACATCCCGAGGTTGGTTGGTTTTGTTTTTAAATGTACTTCCACTAATTTAGAAAAATGGCACTCTTTATTACTGGAGGGGAAACTTTCTGTACTTTTTCTGCAAGCACCCACTGTAGAAGATGAACCTTTAGTTCTTCTTAACACCTAACTAGTAGAACGTTTCATGAGGACTTAAGAGTGGCAAATTGACTCTTTCAGGCCACCGAAGAACATTGTAGACATCACTAGTATACCCCTGAGAAGTGAAGAAGAGACTTAGGATTCATTCAGTCCACAAACATGCACTAAACATCTCTTTCATACCAAGCAGTCTACTAGGCCTGGAGTTCAGACTTAACAGACTGAGCTGCTCAGGTACCAGCAGCTCCTTGCTGCTGCCAGTAAATAAAGACATCCCAATTCCTCTAGGTACAGCCTTCCTGCATCACTGTGGCCTTCAGAGTTGTTCACTCTTGGCTTCTCTGTGAGTCACCAGTGTAAGCCAATACTGTAAGCAACCAGACCTTGAAGGTGGTCTGTGTTTCCTTCTGTTCAAAGTCTTGCTTTCTTCCCACATCCCTGATGTCCTAAAACATGGTTTTCTCATTTTATATTTAATTCCCTCTCCCTTGGTGTCATAAGGGGGCTGTGCCAAAAAAAAAATAATAATCATCAATGATAGAGTAGTTTGTTTAAGGAAAAGTAGCCTGAGGTAATAGAGGGTACTTGTTTGGTTGTTAATCCGGGATGGGGTATGCAAATCACTTCTTTCATTAAATTTAGCTTCCCAGGTGATGACTTCCCACAGCTGGCCAGCGATCCCATCAGCAAAGGCATAGTTAGCCTCTCTGGATGTTCCTGAAATAGGGGAAAGTGAGAAAAAAGTGATTGTCTCATCAGCATTGAGACACTCAGGGTTCCTTGCAGCGAATGTAACAGTTACTAACCTGCCCAACCTGATTGTGCTTCATCAACGCGATGTTTAAGTACAGAGGAATACTGTTAAGTCTGGCACTGGTTTTGGCAACAGCTAATGACACAGCCCCAATGGCCATGCTGCCGCAGAGTACGGGTTCAGTGGGCTCTGCAGGTATGATAGGTTTCTCTGTAAGAGTACCCTTCCGTCCTGGGGGGAGAAAACATGGAGAAAACATTCCTTTCTGGGCAGTCTAACTGTTAGAAGACTGTATTTTTACATGCCTTCCTGATCTGTATTTTACATGTATTTTTACAGATAGGAAGACAGGGAAAACAGAAAGGTGAAGACTGCTGGGAAGAGCTTATCCTCTACCTTAACTCCCAAGAAGTTTTCTGTTTGGTTTCACTTACTGGTGCTTAAATTATCCTGAGCCATGATTTTGCATAAGAAATTCTAGCCATTCAATATTAACTCTCTCAACAGCGTATGAGGTAAATATTGTTATCCCATATTCATATGTAAGTAAACTGGCATTTATGGTGGTTAAGAGGCTTGCTCAGTATGTTCCAGAAAGCAGATAAAGAGAGGAGTTAGATAGTCTTTAGGTTCCAAATCCTTTGCTTTTCTACATTTCACCATAGGTGCTGCAAACCCATCTGTGTCAAGAATGCTTTATTCTAGGTTGCTTACCATCTCTAGAAATGCCCCAGACCCAAATGCCCATCCAGAATCCTTACCCACCTTTCACTCTAACATGTCCTTAGCTACCCTGTCTGATCAGGTCAGAGTCCATCATAAACCTGTAGTTCTCTAGTCCTCTCCCCATAGCTACTGACCTGGCTTAGGTCCTCAATGGAGATAAGATGTGTAAGCACCTAGCATATACTAAGTGCTTAGCGAATTGCTGACCCCTCTATAGCTTCTCTTCTCTTAAGGTCCAGGTTCTAGCAGTCAAAAGCAAATGCCAAATGAGCATCCATTAGTGGTTTCTATCTCTAGCTAGAGCACCAGAGGGTGCTCTGGAGAGAAGACGGTTTTCACATACTTCTTTTACCTTAGTTCTCTTCCCCTCTCCATACCACAACAGCTGAATCAATGAAATAGGGAACTTGTTTCCATGGTCTCTTTTAGTTTCTAGTCTGGTGCTTTTTTATTCGATGGAACCCATAATTTTTGGGTGTTCAAATGTGCCTGGCATCACCCTAGTTACCAGCAATAAAAGCAAGTTGAATGAGGAGTAGGCTCTAGTCCAATGACATATGACAATACCATGATATGAAAACAATGACAATACTGGGAGCAGTTCCAGCATTAACATCCTGGAGGGGCTGAGGTTAGCAATCTCTTGGAAGACATGGAACAAAGGGTAAATTGAAGTGATAACGTCACTTAATTTGCTTTGAAATAGCGAACTAAAGCAGATGTTTATTTATATGTGACATAGGACTGAGAAAAAGGTGGTTGTCTAAATGAAAGGATTTCAACAGTCTTTAAAATATGGAATGGCTTTTTGATTACTTAATGGAAACTTCCTGATAAGGTGAAAGGTTCCTTCATGCCATCCCCTGCCTCCCACATTGCCACTGTTCAATACACTTTATTTAATATATGCTCACCTCTGAAATGAGAAATCAATCATTTTACTCTATTTTACAAACAAAAATGGAAAGTGTGGTAGAGTAAAACCTTGCTCACCCAGTAGAGTGACTTCAAGCAAGGACCTGGAATAGAGGATGGATAGCACTTGGCTGGAAGCCAAGCAGTCCAAGTGTCAGGCTTTCTTCCCCATGTTTGTCACTGAAGGTTCTGCAAGATGATAAGCCACTGACCTGGTTTCTGCATTTTCTTTTTAGGAGGAGGTGGAGGAGGTACAGGCGGTAATACAGGTGGAGGTGCAGGCACAACTGAGTCTTCCAAGCTCCTTTCCAGTTCTTTCTTCTCCTTATGTTCTTTCACTTTATTTACAAAGAATGCCCTTGAGAGCAAGAGACTATGTATGACCTTATAATAAGAGATTTAGAAACACCTTTCTGTACTTTTGATCATGTTTTAGAGCTGACCCCAGCAAGCTTCAGTGATTTGCTTTTTAGTTACATAAGAACAAATTGGCTTTAATTTTAAGGCCAAAAAATAATGATACTATTAAAACTGTGTTCAAGAACTGAAATTCATTTTAGCTTGGAAATAAATGTTTCAAGATTTTGGCTGCTATTTTTAAAATTATTTGAGCTCTTTTTGCACTTTCAAAGTAAAGTTTGAAGGTATAATTAGATTAAGGTCTTTGGATTTTCTTTTTGTATAAACGAGATTTAGAAGACAAAGCTATGAAGTAAGCACAGTGAAATATAGCATTATATGTTGGGGGAGTCTTATAAAACTTTTGGTAAATCCTACTTAGTTACAACTACATAAAATTTCAGCAACCCCCCCCCCAAAAAAAGAAGAAGAGAATAAAGA